CACTCCTTGGCATATACCCAAAGAACTTGTCCTGTTGCAGAGACACTTGTACATCCATGTTTGTTGCTGCTCTTTTCACAATAGCTAAGAGATGGAAGCAACCTAAGTGTCCCTCAATTGATGAGTTGATAATGAAAATGTGGTTCATATATACGATGGAGTTTTACTCAGCAGTAAAGAAAGATGAAATCATGAAATTTACAGGTTAATGGATGGAACTAGAAACTGTTATAGTAAGTGAGTTAACACAATCTCGGGAAAAAAATCGACATATGTTCTCCCTCATATGTGGATCCTAGGATCAGACTCTGATAAATAAGTATGCAAACAGACATAACTGCAGGAACCAGGACAAGGGTAAGGAAACAGTGAGGTAAAGGAAAAGAAATAACCTGAAGGAGAAGAATAGTAGGCAACAGACCTTAAGAAGGGAGATATGGATAAAAACTGGGTTAGATTAGGGGAGGGGGGAGGGAAGGGTATATGAGGAACCTAGGGGATAAGGAGTAAGAAGCAGTTCAACAGAGGTAGGATCATGGGAGCAAGGGTATTATTAAGGAAGAAAGGGGGGGAAGTGCAGGCGTGGGAAGTGGGAAAACCATGATAGAGGGGGGAGACGATACAAGAGAGAAACAATGCCTAGCTAGTCATGAAAACCAGAGGGGGAAAAAAAAAAAGAGAAAAAAAAAAGTCCAATATGTGTTTGCTCTCAGGGGGGAGACGATACAAGAGAGAAACAATGCCTAGCTAGTCATGAAAACCAGAGGGGGAAAAAAAAAAAAGGAAAAAAAAAAGTCCAAATTGGGCCTTGCCTGGGCCCACCAGAGGGCTCAAGTTCCCCACTCCTCTTGGGGCGGGTTAAGACGATACAAGAGAGAAACAATGCCTAGCTAGTCATGAAAACCAGAGGGGGAAAAAAAAAAAGAGAAAAAAAAAAGTCCAATATGTGCTTGCTCTGTGACCTCAGTGAGGATCAGATTCCTCAGTCTTCATGGGCAGGTTAAAATATCTTGTCTCTTCATTGAATCATTGTCTATTGGCATTCTGAAGGAAGAGAATACTGTTTCCTTGAATTCCCTAGAGAATAAGGCATGCAAAATCCCTTCGAGTGGCCCTGCAGCTAGCCAGATTCTTTCCAGCAAAAAGGAAATCCAAGTCAGAACAGACAATAACCTGAGGCTCTTTGTGGATTGTACACCCTTCATGTGGTCTCAGGGCAGTCAGAATAGGTTTTAGACTAACACCTCTTACTGCATTCTAGCTGCTCTCATGCTATTCTTTTGGAGGTTTATAGGCCAAGTGTAAGAGTTCATGAGCCTAAGTTCCCTCTAGGAGCCTCACCACAGCCCCTTGTTTGGAGCACAGATACCCTTACCCACACAGCCCATTTCTTTGGGTATTTCTGGGCTAGTCCAAGTTCCTTCTCACTGTCAAGCCTCTCACTCTACACATGGCTTTGTGTGGAAGGAAGACAGAGCCTGGAGAACCTATCCTCAGAGCCAATCGGGCTACCTCAGTACCACCATGACTCTGATTCTTTTCTGCCAGACTGTCCTGCTGCTACCCATCTCCTTCCTTTGAGCAGGCAATGAGAAGGAAGGCTATCTCTTGGGCCCGGCAGCACCATTCCAGAGCCAAAAAAGATAACACTGATCATTTTTCTTTCTTCTCTATCCATAGATAATTGAGAATACACATTTAAATTTTTTATTTTACATTTCAAATAATCTTCTGAAAACCTTTTAATGAAGTGTAAAAATTCTTCTGAAATAATGATAAGTGGGGTTAAAAGCAAGATATATGATTGTACACATAGGAAGTCACTAGGTTTGTAAATATACACACAAAAATACAACACATGGATTTCTTAGGGTGATAGAATTAGAGGCCATTATGTATTTACTTCTGCAAATGTTTTGCTTTTTTCTAAAAGAAAGCACATACATAAAGGTATCTATTACTTTCATAAGCCTTCAAGAAAGGATTATTTGCCACTAGTTGAGACTTTCAAGAGACTGGTAACTGATCTTATATACCAACCTAAGGGAGAGCAATACCAGGCTTCTACTTCTCACCAAGGTGACTTCTGCATGAAACCTCTCTGCCAATGTAGAATTCTCTATACAAGGGTGTGGACTTGGGCTTTGACAAGACTGCTGAGCCTGTCACCACTCTTCATTATTATGTGACATCTGACAAATCAGGCAGTGTTTTCAGAGCCTGTGTATTTTTCTCCCGGTTACCAGGGCTGAGAGCTTCCCCCAAAGAACTTTGGAAATACAGGTCTTGGGATCCCACCTGAGCCTGGGCTCAGGGGACAGGAGAGCTCCAGAGGAGCTAACTTTGTGCATCAAGCTGTTATAGCAAGAGCACTCCCTTTAGAGCTGAATGATTCTGGAGCCTTGGGATGCTCCTCTGCAAAACTGATAGGTCACAATTCTTTAAGACAGCTTATATTTTTAAAAAATAGTGAATGTGAGGTACATGACAGCACATACAATAAATTATTAATTCCAATAAGTGATGGACCCTAGAGAAGGCAGCAGAAGGGAAAATCTGCCGGGCTAACTTTCCATTCTGTCACCACTGAAGTTTTTCAAAGTGTCTGTGCTATGTGGGGTTAGAAGTGGAGAAGCTGCCCAGACCTCAGCCCCACCCTGACTGGGCTGGTATCCTGGGTTTCACCATGGAAATGTAGGTAGGCAGTGCTAGCTACTGGCTGGTGGCCAGAAGTGTGGGGTGAATGGTAGACCTAGAATACCCAAAGATGACACTGAACACAGGTTCCATTACAAATCCAGCACTCCGCATCAGCTGGCCAGAGTGCTTCTACCTCCACCCACAGCTGCTCTGTCCTTTAAGTATTCATCGGGGCTGAAGCCAGTACACCAGACACTTATGGGAAAGGAAAGAATCATATATCTTGTTATGGATTGAAATATTTCATCTTTGCTGTACCACTACCTTATCTAGTGCCATTATTAGTAGTGCTTGGATCGGCACCACCTTGTCTATAACTGTGAGCTGCTGTAGCTCTTGGTATTAATCCTTTAGTTCTGTAAATGACTTCACCATGTATAAAGTGTCTCCCTAGCCTGGGTTTCACCTGATTAAAGATGATCCCTCATTGGGGGCAGGGTACACAGGGGTAGAACACTTTCCTAAAGATGAACCCGGAACACTGCATTATGTGAAAGCTGAGGGAGGCTGGTGTTAGAAACATCAACTGGAACACAACAGATCTGCACTTGCAAGTGGAGTACAGTTAAAGTATTTTCAGCCTCCAGACACATCTACCACCCCCACCACACCCAGTCACTCCTGGCTACCCTGGTGGAACAGGCCACAGCTAGTTTAAGCAACTTCCAGGGTTAGGAACTAAAAAAATGGCCTTTTATTATACCAGAGAAACCCAACCAAGTCAAAATCCCAACAAACTGGGTGGGAAAAGAAGACAGAAAGTTTTTGTAAATATGAGGCCATCACTTATGCCAGTGTCTCCCACACTTTTACAGGAAGGCCCTGGAAAGATCGGTCCCCCCCCCCTTTTTTTTCTTTACAGACTTTAACTTTTCTGTGCCTAAGGTATACGCATTTTTAAACTACTGACTTTGACCTCATCCCTAAAGTGCACTCTGGAATGTACCTCTTCTTAGAGCAATATAAGGCCTCTGTGGAGAACAAGAATTCATCAGGGTAAAGATCAACCATGCGCCAGGGCCCCTTAGAGACTGCTGTCTTCACCTGGCAACCCAGAGCACCAGCAGGGCTCAGAGAAAAGAAAGTGGCATTTTGGAATCCATTTTGCCCAGGCATCCTAGCAAGATAGGCTTTGCTACTAGGGTCAGAGAACTTGGGGAACGCTGGTTCCCACCAGGGTGCGTTACTTAGGGGAAGATGAAGGCCAAACTTTGGAGCCAGTAGTACCTGTGACTGGCGGACAGGTGCATGGACCATCTTTAAGACTCAACCGCAGGAAAGCGCTGGGTGGTGGATGTGGGGCCCACTGGGGCACTGCTTCTACATTTTGGATCCAAGTCCACTAATGAGCAGCAGCAGTCGCCGCCACGCTAGCTGGGTCGCTTCTGTCTGTCCAGCCATTTAAAGGCGAGATTTATGATGTATGCAAGGGAAGGGAGGGAAATGACTACGGCCTTTGGAAGGCATCATCTTGAAAGTCACACTTTTTCTCAAGCGCCTCCCACCCAGTATCTCCTCTCCAGGGCAGCGCAGTAACAGTAGGGGAGGCTGCACGGCGCTCTGGGACCTGGAGGGACCAGGGCGAGCTGTCGGGAGGCCAGGGGAAAGGACGGTCCCGGGCGCGGTAGGGCGCGGCTCACCTGCCAGGCTGTTGTAGCAGTCGATCTCTATGGCTTCCACCGTCTTGCTCTGCTCCTCGGAGAGGCGGCCGGGTTTGGGGGCCCCGGCCGGGGAGGCTGGGCGCGCATCTCGCTCCCGTTCCCCGGGGAGCGGCAGCAACCCCTTCAGCTCCAGCAACGCCCGATGGTATTTGCCGATGGCTTCGCGGAATTTCTTGTCCTTGTAGCACTGCGCCCCTTGGCTCTTGAACTCGTGCGCGCGCCGGATGAGCTCCGCCGGCTCGGCCGCCACCCCAGCCTGGCCCCGCGCCGGGGCCCCTCCGCCCGGGACGCACAGTGGCGGCGACGGCCGCTGCCCCTCGCTGGCCGCGGGCAGGCTAGGGTTTCCCTTGGCCCCGGCCGCCGAGCCCTTTCTCTCCATCCTGCCTCCCGGCGCCACTATCCACCCGCCGCCGCCGCCGCCGCGCCCTCCGGGCTTTAAGAGCGGCGAGCGCCGGCCCCGCGCCCCGCAGGCTCCGCGGCGGTGACTCCGGGCGCCGGGCGCTCGCCCCGCACTCCCATTCTCCTCGCCCGCCGCCGGAGGCTGCTCCCTCCTCCTCCGCTCTCTTCCCTCCCGCCTCCTCCCCCGCTCCCGCGGCGCCCGCCCTGGTCCCCGCCCTCCTCCCCTCCAGCCACCTGCCGCCGCCTGCGACCCGACCCTCGAGCGCCCCGGGATCGTGATGCCAGGGATCACCGGCCTGGCAGGGGTGGTGGTGACGGCCGCTGACCCGGAAGAAGCTTGGCTGGCTCAAAGGAGGGGAGGATGAACGACAAAGAGGGCCCCTCGGGTTCCCGTTCAGTCCAGCCTTCAGGGGCGCGCCTAGGCTGAAAGAGCCGACTGGAGGAGGGGTGCGTGTATTTGGGGGCAGTGGGGGTTCACCCTGGATAGATTTCTTGGAAGTAAATAGAACGTGTGCGGCAGGAAGCTTAAGAAGCAGGCACGACATTGCTTCTTGTTCTGTACAATAAGGCATTAATGTTAATATTTAAGGGGGTTAGGGCCTTCTTTTTTTTTGTGATCCAGTTGTCGTTGAGGTGTGTCTCCCGGGCGTCCAGACTTAAGAAGCAGGCACGACATTGCTTCTTGTTCTGTACAATAAGGCATTAATATTAATATTTAAGGGGGTTAGGGCCTTCTTTTTTTTGTGATCCAGTTGTCGTTGAGGTGTGTCTTCCGGGCGCCCAGAGCACTGGGTGCACTGGGTGCACGTCCGCGTGCCGGGCGTTGAAGCCCTGGAGCCAGTGTGTGCTTACGCTATGTGCCATGCGCAGCTATGCAGAATGAATCACAGACCTCAGAGATGGAAACACCTGTTACTGTTGGTCATCAGGCTCGGTAGGCACGCGGTTCCAGTTTCCATTACTAGACAGTTCCGCGCCCTTCCTGGGTAGGTCCCACTCCTTCTGTCTTTCACTCAGTTCTGAGTGTCAGCTGTCTGCTGGAGATTGGATAAGGCCCAGAGACAGACAAAGATAGGCAAGTTATGCCCGGAACCTCAAAAGCGCCCAGCCTACTTGGGGGAAATGCACTGCCCACCGACAGTCACTGGACTAGGCAGCGATTGGCACATATTGAGAAGGAAGAGAAAGGGCTGTAGACCTTTGAGGAAGATGGGAGAGGTGACTTTCTGCAGATGATAGTATTTGAGGGCCTTGAAGGATGGGTAGGATTTGGGCATGAGAAGGAAGTGGCATACCAACCAGAGTGAGGAAAGCTCACGGAAGCTGTGATGTTTGAAATCTCAGGTGCATTTAGGGCAGAGTGGTTTCATTTTGTGACAGTAGTAGTGAGAGATGATTAGGAACAATTATGGAGGTTTTTGGATGAAACAATTGGGTTTGATTTTGTAGACAGTAAAGAAGGTAGACTTGTTTTCAGTGCTCTCTTTTTTATGATGCTAATAAGAAGGAAAAAAAAAGATACTCTAAGGCAGTGATTGGCAAAGTGTGGTTCCCAGATCAGCATCTCCTGGGAAACAGTCACTAGTAAAGTCTAAGGTCATGAACCTCGAGGTTGGATACGCTGCTGTAAAACCTACTCACAGTGCAGGCCTTGGACCAGCAGCATCAAGGTCACTGGGAGCCTGTGAGAAGTGATAGATGTGCAAAATTCCCAACCCACTGATCCATATGCTGCACTTTAATAAGATTGATGGTGATTTGGATGACTATCACATTACACTAGAAGTTTAGGAAAATACAGAAAAGAACCCCCAGTCCTATACTGTCACACAGAGACACTCTTGATTACTGCTTTGATGTGAATCCTATTATTTTTTTCTGTGCACCTATATTTCTACTTTTGTTTCACTGACATAAGTGGTGTGGGACAATATATACAATTTGTTACCCGAGTTTTTTACTTTAAGTTTTATGTGATGGTTGATTCTTTTAATGCTTCCTTTCTTCCCCATTTTGAAGTTTTGGAGCTTAACCTGGGGCTCCATGCATGGTTGTGCCTAATCTGGGCCTCTAAGCCTTAGTTTTATGGCTAAATAATAGTTTACCATGGGGTATGTAACCAATTGTTTTGGTAGCCAGATAAATTTTTATTATTATAGATAATATTATATGATGTGAACAATACTAGATATCGCTGTCTGGTGCTTGCTTTGTGCCAGGCACTGGATTAAGCACTTTACATATAATGTATTTACTCCTTATAACAATCTGGTGAAACAGGAGCTATTATCCCAGTTGTGAACACTGTATTACAGAGTCTTGCCAAGATTACATTTCAGTAATCAGCAGGTCCGGTATGTGAACCCAAGTAAGCTGGTTCCGGAATCTATGCTTGCATCATTTTTGTGTTCATTCATATTCATCTCTTTTGTTCTTATTTATGTTTTCTTCTAAGACATTATGGTAGTTTTTAAATCAATCTCTTTTTTCATGCTGGGGATCAAATTCAGGGCCTCATTTGTGCCAGGCAAGCACTCTACCACTGAGTCACACACCCAGCTCAAGAAAGTCTTGAAACATACTGTCAGTCTGCTTTTTTCCCTCCTCATCTGTATATGTATGTAGTATGCATAAGTGTATGTGTGTTCACATGTGTATATGTGTGTTCACATGTAAGTGAGCACACATGTATGTGGGTGCACCCTAGCTTGATGCTGGGAATCTTTCTTGATCCCTTTCTGCCTTATTCATGGAGGTAGGTTTCTCAATTGAACCCAGAGCTCATGATGCAGCTAATCTGGCTAGCCAGCTTTCTCCAAGGACCCACTGTCTCTGCCTTCTGATTGTGGTATTATTACAGCGAGACCCCCAAGTCAACCCATCATTTACATGGGTGTTGAGCAAGTGTTTTAACTACTAAGCCAGTCCCTAGTTTATTTCATAAAATGTGGTTCAGCTGAATGTGGTGGCTCCTGCCTATAATCCCAGCACTCAGAAGGTCAAAACAAGAAGATTGCTTCGGATTAATTATTATCCTAGTGTACATAGTGAACTCCAGGCCAGCCTGGGCTACAGAGTAAGACCGTGCCTTAAAAAATAATAATAACTCAAATTTAAAGGATGAGATTATCTTCTGCTCCTACCACTAACGCATAGTTTCACAGCATCGTTATCCACACCAAGGGTAAAATTTATATAAATGTTTTCTAACTTGATAAATGAAAACTATACATCAACTTAACTGGGCTTCATGCTAAGGATAAGTGTTTTCCCATGTGTAGTTGCCATTTATAGAGAACTGAAGGCTTTTAGTTGGACACAATCTTAGTGTACTAAATTATAGCTTATATTTCATAGCATGTTCTTTTCCTAAATGCCCTATCATATTTAATCCCACTTGATCCTTATAGTAACCCTAGAGAAGGTAAGGAGTCTCTGCTTACACAATGAGTCTATAGTTTTCTGACAAGTGAGATACCCTATTACTTCAGTGGTTTAGAGGCTTTGAACTCAGACAGCTGTGGGCTGGAATTCTGTTTTGGCCATTTCCTAGGCAAGTTGTTCAACTTTAGACAACCTCAGATTTCCTTGCTCATTAAGTGAATGTGGGAGTGCTATCTCATAGGATTGTTGGGAAGCACACTATAAGTACTTGACAGATGGTAACTTTATTACTCATTAAATTCTGCCATTGCTGGATCCCATAATAATGTGGCAGAACTCCAGTTAATCCATAAATATTTGCCAACTACTGGCCTTTTTGATTTTCAAGTAGTGTATCAGGTTGAGCATAAGAAAGAAATTGAGAGTTGGGTGCTCTGAATTTTAGTTACCCATATATTAGGTAGAAAGGGCTGAGGAAGGCAAATATTGAATAAAGATCCAGCCCTTGGATTTGGTAATGTCACAACAAGAAGATATACATTAGGGTCCATGACCCAACAGTCATTCATTTAAAGGTGAGATGCAGGGCTGGGGAGATGAGTCAGTCAACAAAGTGCTTGCTATGAAATCAAGCCTATAATCCCAGCACCAGGGAGAAGGCAGGAGTTTCCCCAGGATTTACTGGCTATCCAGTCTAGCTGAATCAGGGAGCTCCAAGTGCAGTGATAGACCCTGTGTTGAGAAACAAGGTGGAGAGTGATTGACGAAGACATCCATGTTGATCTCTGGCCTCCGTACATAAATGCATGCATACCCTCACATGCTGCACATGTATGCACACTCATGAATCACATACACACAGAAAATAAAAAGATACTATGCACTGAAGTGCCAACTTGCTCTTTGTTTTCCTATTGTGTCTTTCTTAGATTTTGGCTTTGAGAACAGACCTGCAAGAGGCAGGTAGCCCAAGTGCTGCTTCCCTGGGTATGCTGCAGAACTCAACCCGAGAGCTTAGTACTCACACAAATGAGGGGAGGATGAGTGAGGAAGGGAGGGAATACTATGGGGGATGGAGTAGAGAGGAGTTACTATGCCCATCTGTCCTTCTTGGCAGTGCTGTGTGTGGATGCCTGGAATTGTTTTATTTGCTTGTTTGCAGTATGTGTCTGTCTGGCTGAGCCGTTCATTTGTAAGTGTATTCCAGCTTCTCAGAAATGCATGCTTCCCTTCAGATGGAATCAACTGAGTGCCAAAGAGAATTTCTCAAATATTCTTTCATTAATTATTGGCCATATGAAGAGCACTATTTTAGGAAGTAAGCAGAGCTTGAATTTGGGAGTCAGAAACTCAGTGCTCAGGGCTGGAGAGATGGCTCAGCAGTTAAGAGCACTGACTGCTCTTGCAGAGGACCCGGGTTCGATTCTCAGCACCCACGTGGCTACAAACCGTTCTTAACTCCAGTTCTAGGGAAAAGCAAAGCCCTCTTCTGACCTCCGTGGCATTTCACAACACGGGTGCACTCACATACATGCAGGCAATACACTCATACACATAAAATAAAAATAATAAATTAAAAAAAAGAAACTCAGTGCTTCTCAGACTTTGACATACATGTGTTTGAATTGCCTGGCGATCTTAGAAAAATGCTTCCCTAACTTTTGTTCAATCATTTGATCAGATTTCAGGAAATGAATTGGTCCACATTTAACAAGAACAGAATCATGGACCCTATTTAGTGTTCTCTTCCACGTCACA